CAAAGATCCTTTAGCCAAAGTCGAAGACTGAAACTAAAGATTAGAGACTGACGAGTACGTGATTTGAAGCGGTACTCAGTGATTACAAGTCTGTCTACATATGTGTGAAGACTGCTCAAGCCTCAGCGAATGCTGAAGAGACTTCCAGGTCATTCCAGCATTCAGCGATCAAGGAAGCTTGCCAAGCACGATTGTTGTTGTCTTGTCCTTATACACACAAAGGACAAAACCATACCCTTTCTAATTGTTAGTACGATATGAAGCCGACTAGTTAACTCTTACCCACCAACTTTAGGTAAGGATTTCTGCTCATGAAAAGGCTTTTTGTACTATTCACTGTAGCAAAGGACAAGCCTTCCTCTTAAGGCTTGACACACACACTAACCCTACCATATTGCATTAAATGTGCATTTAATGCAATGGGTATAAATAGAAGTGTTTTTTCTCCATGCAGAGTGCGCGCAACACACTCTCTTAACCTAATTCTTACTTTGAGCATTCTAGAGCTTAAGTAAAAGAACTTTTCTTTACAGCATTTTTTTTCTCATTTGCTAAGATTCCGTAAGTAACCAAAGATTGTTTAGATAGGTTTTCTTACCTTATCTTTCCACAAACAGTCTTGTAAAATTTGTATTGATCTTCTCTTATCAATATACATTTTAAATTTGAAAATATTGTGTTTGTATTCATCCCCCCCCCCCTCTTCTACAAACTGTTATACATATCTTGTAGACCCTCAAGGGACCAACAAAAGGGTACTAGTTGATTACTCCCAAGGCGATTAGACGCTGGTAAGTTATATATTTAATTTTAGGCAAACTTTATGTGAATTTAATCAAGTTTGGGTTGCCAATTGTTGGACTAACAGTAAGTTTGTTTAAAATTAGGTTAAGTGAGTCATAATGTACCTTAAGGGATCTTGTCGTACATTAGTAGGTGATATTAGGCTTAAGTGAGTCATAATGTACCTTAATGGGTCTTATTGGACCTTAATGGATCATATCAGGCCTAACCGAGTCGTAATCTACCTTAATGGGTCTTGTCGGATCTTAATGGGTCATATTAAGCATAATTGACTCATAATGGGTCTTGTTGAACCTTAATGGGTCATATTAAGCATAATTGATTAATTTTGGACCTTAATGGGTCAAAATATGGTTATAAAGTCTTTAATATAGTTTGAGTTGTCAATTGTTGGGCAACGTTAGACTTGATTTATTGCATATATGTTTAATTTACAGCCGTTATGTTGCTATTTTGTTCGTATCATGTTTTGCAATCATTTGGTTGTTCAAATGTATGGGAGAACGTGGCTTCTCAGTAAGAGACCTTGAAAATGAGAATGAACACTTATAGGAAGGAAAATGGTTTTACTTATTCCATTGTTTCTATATTTCATTACATTACTTCATTGATGTTTGTTTGGTGATGAAAAACAAAAAAGGTTCAAACCTTAACACACCACCTCCCATCTCTCAAATCTTCAATTTTTACCCACAAAAAAATTACATCAATCTTCAAATCTTTAATCCATTTTAAAATTGAAGAAGATAAGAACATTTGGCTTCTTTTACTTAAAAAAGTACTTCAAATCGAGAAAAAAAAGTGACGACTATATGTTTTTCAAATCATACAGAAAATCGAGAAAAAAAAAGTGGCGAGAAAGAGATGAAAATTGAGATATAGATGTATATTTTCATCCATTAACAGTGAGAGCTGACCATCGTTGATCAAGAGCGGGGATTGTGGATGGTGAGAGATCACCATTGTTGACCATGTATGGTGAGAGCTTTAACAAGGATTCAAGGAATGAAGTTATCTTTTCTTTGAAAAATTCTGGTGAAGAAAGAACTTTGGTGAACAACTTTTTTCTAGAATTTCAGAGAGATGATATTGGTGAGGTGGGAGATGATGAGTTGAAAAAAATAAAGAAGAGGGAGAATCGACGCTTAATTTTTCTATCGCTTTAATTGGGGGTGGAATGATTTTTATCTGGTAAACGTTTATCGGTAAAATTCAACATTATCGTTTACTTTCTGGGTAAGATTTGAGTCCACCAAAACAACATTGTATGTAATAATTTACCCGGTAAGCGCTAACCGTGGTAAGAGTCATCGCAATCACTAATCAGGTAAGACTCTCAGTCCATGTTTTCGCTCTTACCGGGTAAGATTCTTGGTTTTTGCCATAGTCATCCGATAAGGTAATATGACTTGGTAAACGCTTACTCAGGTAAGCAAACGACCCCTAAATCTATTATAATGATTGAATAGTTTTTTGAAAATAAACCTCATTTTTCATTCCATTTTTCATTTCCTTATTTGAACCAAACATTATCAATGATTATCATTCCTATTAATTACCTTCTAACACCTCTAACCAAATACCCCCTAATTATTTAGTGCTAAACCCCTCTTTTCTTCTCATTTAGATAGAATCTTTTCCATTTAAATCTTAACCGTGAGTCTTTACTTTTTTATTTTCTATTTCTTTGTTTTTGGAGATAGAGCTGATGATATACCTGTTTTTACTCTTTAAAGTAGGTTAATATGAACTTTTGGACATGTTTGATGTAGCAGATCTCATGCTGCAACAATTGTGTAGCAGCAAGCTGAGGATGGAACCGAATGACTAAGAAAAGGAATGGCTTTTGCACAAGATTGGTGGCTCATGCAAGACACTTTTGAAGATTTGCAGTTCAAATTAAAGACTGAAAATTAGTTGTCTAGTTAATTATCTAAGAAGTACATTAAAAGTCTTCTATCTTTTGACAAACTTGTACTTTTGGCAAACTTTGGCTCCAAATTTGTTGTTAATTAGTCTATTGTCCCCCTCCTAATTTAGTATAAATAGGGGGTTTAGGTTAATCTTTTGCCATGCAATTTCAAGCCATTTTAGTTGTAAGGAATTGGATTTCTCTCCTCTAAACCTTTGCTTAATTGTCTTTTTTGTTTCGGTTTTAATATATATTGTTGAAAGGTATTATGAAGTTCCATAGCATCTCTGTAGCATTCTAATTTTCCTGTATTTATTACACTTTCCGTCTTTACATTCCAGTCTTTACTTTCCATCATTTAAATTTCATGTCTTTACCTACTGAAATTTACATTTCTTGCAAAAAAAATTCCATCATGAGTAGCTAAGTCTTTTAGCTTGGGTGTGAGACGAAAATCGTGAGTTTGTAAATAAAAAAAGTAGATTCTTTTATGTAACAACAAAAGTTTTCATTTTAAGTTTCATGAAACCAATGACATTTCTCAACGAGTTGACCACTGTAAAGTATTAAAGTGTTATAGACTCTAAGTTGAGCTATTGATTGCACGTCAAATGGATGATATGGGTAGTAGACTGGATATCGTTGCTGACAAAGAAATTTGTTATCTATATTTTCCAAGTTGGTTAATTCTTGACAGATTGATCACTTTGAAATGTTAAAGTGGAATAGACTAAGAGATGAGCTATTCAGACCTCGTCAATTTGAATGATACGGGAATCCACTCGAAAGAGTGATTTTTAACAAAGAAATTTATTCATCCGTATATTCTGATAACACTATTTGTCACTTTCACTTGTCCGGATACCACATAGAGATATGAGTTGAAAGCTATAATATCAGTATAATTGTGAAGTTCAAGAGGAATACCCTCAAAATAAATGGTGAAAATAGTTGTTACTAATTGCATGCTGTAACATTTTCACAACATTGGTTTATACTGTAGCATTTGACAACATTGCTCTACTAGAAATTGTATTTATATCTCACCTAAGTCTTACATCCTAACTTTCTTTTATTATCTGTTAATTTCATCAAGAGTTAACTCACACAAATCAAAGTCTTCAAAATCGTTATCTGAAATCAATTCATTCATATTACTTTTATTGAACTTTTACTCTGATATATGTGGAGGATACTCGGTACTTGTACTATTTTATTATTTGAAAGACGATATTGGGACTAGCTGTATACTTGCTTTTGATCCTGATTACTAAGTCTGTGGTTGTATAAAAACCTCCTGTCATATTAATCGCTTGTTCATTAATTATAATGTAATATTTGTTAATCAAATTTGTTAAGGTTTAAAAGGAAGTTCGACATTGAGTTTTGGTTAAAACAATCAATAGTTTGAGTTTTTACCAATATTCTAAAAGGCTCGTCACGATTGTTGTTACGTGCGTATGGTTCAAGACTTGTCTCTATATATAATTTAACATTGGATATGCATATTTATCGTTATAAGTCACATCTTGAAAAAAAAAGGCAGCTTCTAATTAAGACTTGAGACTTGACTTTGCCACCACACTACGTCTCATGCAATTTAAAATCTTAATTGTTACCATGAAAATACATTATAAAAAAGAATCAGATCCGTCGGTGAAAGTCTGTCGGGATAAACGTCGTGGAAAAAGATATCACCGACGAAACTTATTACCAACAGATGGCCGACGACCCATTACTACCGACGGATCATCGACTACCGATGGATCATGAATGACACTTCTTGCCGACGGATCACCAATGTCCTTATTAATGACGGATCACCGAACGACTCTCTTAACTTTTACCGCGGGTAAATAGTTCATTTTAGTAGTTTTTCTATTTGTATAATGCATATTAAATAAACAAATTAAATTGGGAAAAATATTTTGTTCGACTTCATGGTTGTTTTCGAAATATTCATTATGAACATCAATGATTTTTGTTGTAAGGATCTTATCACAAGGTAATTTTTACATCTGAAATAGTTTGAAATCAAATCAAACATCATTTGCTAAACCGTAGATTTTATTCGAAATAGCGAATATGTAGTTAGACCGTCACCTCCCTGAGTTTGCCTCCGTATGTCACGACATGTTACACTTATTTAATAGCGTAATGAACCACATATACACACGAGTTGTCCTTCAAAACTGGTTAATTAAACTTCATTGATTTTAAAGAAACGACATGAATTCGATTAAATCTTGAACGGTAAAGGGATTTTCGTAGCACAAACATGATGTCATTCACCAATGTGTAGATCAGCCAGATGATAAATATCCATCGGGTACACATCGGATTCGGATTCTGCTTTGTACGATCTGAGCCCGACAATTACATTCGCAGCTTCACTCGGATGAAATGCATCCCAGAATACAAACTTGCTTCTATTTTGGCACGGCGTTTCCATAGGCAAACATGATATTTGACCGTGATTTCTCCCGACACCACAACACCCGACATTCGTAACCTCGAAACCTGAAATTCCGTCCGAAATACATCAAGTTTGTACATTCAAACCCTTCCTTTGTTCCAAAAGATAGTCAAATAAACTATTTATCACAACAAAATATGAGTTTCCCGTGTCAACCAATATCTATCGATCGGGATCTATTTGAATTTTTTGGTAAATAAAAAATTTGCAAAAATAAATGATTTAAACGTAGCTAACCCAATATATTTCACACAGAAGTAGGTTCTGGATGGATAATATACCGTAATCTTGAGCACGCTTGAGCAAGTCCCCGAATATATCATAGGCGTTGACATAGATGAATTTGGCATCAAGAAATTCGTTATTCAAGTCCTCGATCATTTTCTTAAGCTTCGTGTTGAATAATTGAACATCTATGTCTACGGTTTGGACACAGGTCCGACCATCTTCGCTCATATACGCCAAAGCATGTGGGCTGCATCCGATCTGCCCAATCCCAGTCACGACCACCTTTCGTGCTCCATGCTTGTACAATGTCTACATCCCGGCGAACTAACTAATCAGACGTCTACAACTTATAATATCGCAAAGGGTATATACGTACATAAGATTACATACCTTGATTTGATGAAAGTAGTGTTTAATGAGAGCCTCAGCATATTGCTCCGGGGAATAATCCCGAGCGGTCGAGTAGCTTTGAGGGACGAAATAGTTGTTAAGGTAATCGTTGCTGCCCAATCCGACCGAATATATACATTTGGCCAGGTGCTCGAAAGCGTCCGCTTTACTCCCTAGTAATTTCTTGATTCGTGACACTACGTTTTTGTGATTATGTAGTTGCATTCTAAAGCTAAAACGTTCCCCCTGCGTAGTTAAATCAATTGATTCGAGATCGGTAACGATCAAAATTCACCACATCTCGTAGTCAGTAGTCACAAGTAGTTGTCAAATATAATTTAACTAAAAATGATTCATACCAAATGCTGCCCGGTTTCATCTCTAATTCCCGCGGCAGCCGATGCGTAATTCACTCCTCGGATAATGTCTTGGTCCGTTGCATAAGCGTAAGCCGGTATGTACTCCGAGAACCCCAAACACTCCGCTGCCATCGACAAAAAACCAATGTTTTTTTTTCAGTTTTTATCGTACGAAACATCATAAAATGTTACTTAAAGGACGGTATAAGTTACCTATGACATCAACGGTAGATTTTCCGTTACAAAATCTACCGGTGTGCCCCCCCGGGAAATCAATTCCATAAGGGAAGTAGTTAGCCTTGGCTAACGACAGAATTCCATTGTTATTGCCGTTATCGACCAAAGAATCACCGAATATGAAGAAACATGGCACTTGATGTGCCCTAATCATATTTCCCCAAATCAACCCTATAAACACACACCATTTCTTGAACCCGTAGTCATCCATCTTGAGAAACGAACCTACGTGAAACGATATAATATGCACGTGAAATATCAAACGGGACCTACGTGTAACGACGAATACACGGTATAGCTTGGAACGAACCGAAGTATGACGATGGATACGTACAGTATATCTCGAAACGAACTTACGTATGACTAACGATGGATATCGCATATATTTTGAAACGAATTGAACGACATGTACCGTGTATATATTGAAGGATAATCGAAGGGAAAAGAGGGTAGGGAATGAAATTAAATGCTTGTAAATAAAATGGCAATTAGTATGTTTAGTCAAAGAGTAACCATCGTACATGGTCAAATCATGATATTAAACATGTTATTAAGGTGCATTTAAATAATTTATTACTCTTATTTATGCTAAAACTTTAATTACGTTGTATCTTTTAACAGACAATGTGTACCATTAGACATTGAATAAGTATGGGTCGAAAATTACAAGAATGATGTCTGATTGTTTTGAGCTTGGCTCCAAACGTCAAAAGTATCGGGAGGTCCCAGATTCAAATCGAAGGAGAAATAAAAATCCTCTTGTGGCCATGGAGGTTCAAATGCGGTGACTCCAGACTATCTGCAAAACAGGTAGTCGTTCTGAGATTAATCGGCTTGCATAATAAGTTGAATATCCAGATTAATAAAAAAATATGGGTCAAACACCCATAATTTATGTAAAAAATATCATATTTTAGTCATGCTTTTATTGATAATGGGTACTATGAAAAGGTTTGCTCAACTTAGAAACTCAATCGTCATTCGTTTTTGTTGATTGTTTTTCTCAATTTTATTTTATGATTTTAAATAAATTTAAAATGAGTTGGTCATTATTTTCTCTTAATATATATCGTGTTTTAAACTAAAGATTAATTTTCTAATTTAATTTATTAGACTTGAGATTTATTATAATCTAGATTTAAAAAAAATGTATTTTAATTTAGTTTACTTATGATTTTTTATATAAACTAGAAGAGTACTCGCGCAATGTAGCAAGACAGATCTCGATTTTAATGTTTTATTTTACTATTTGTCTCTGTCGATATTATAATATGATTTTATGTGTTTTTTAGCAATCAACAATGATTTTATTTTTGAATAAAATATAAATTTGAAGATATCATAAAAATTTGAAAAAGAATATACATCAATGTTAATATCAAATCAATTATTTAAAAGTTATCATTTTTTATGTAATTTCTTTAATTTTTTTTATTTATTATAATTTAATTTAAGTTTAATAACGAAATAATTTATTTTTGGTTTAATAATATAACATTTCATAAGATAATAATTAAGTATTCTGTTAGAACTCAATGATTATCCTAATTATATTTTAGATTTTTTATATTTAAAATGAGATGTTTATCTTGTATTTGATTATGTTTATATACAGTTAGTTACACGAATATAGATATGGAGCTTTAATAAGTTGTAATTACACACAATCTACTTGCAATCTTGAGTTCTAAGTAATATACATTAATAAACAGTATTTTACGCATAAAAAAATGGTTTTTAAGAGTTTTTGTTAAATGCTTTATAATATAGTATAGATTATGTGTTTTTAAGAAAACAATAATAATTTTATTTTTGAATAAAATATAAATTTGAAGATTGTAACATCCCAAAATTTCAAATACTTAAATATAACAAAACTAGTATCCCAAGATCAAACACTTACATTGCAGCGGAAATAAAATCTATAATCTTACAAATTATATCATCATCTAAATTACAATCTTGAGGAGCATAACTTTACTCTATATAACAATGTCTTGATCTGCATGTCCTTTGATGCTAATCCTTTATCTCTCTTTATCCAACTTTTCTTTCCAGTCTAATAGCCGCCTGGGTGAAAAAGTTTTAAAAGAGTTTTGGGTGAGCCTTAGGCCCAGTGAATCCACGGTTTTCATGCATGAACAACAACTTTTATGATAAACAATTTTCACGAAGCTTCATAAATTAGCATGCCTTGATGAGAATAACACTTTTCACAAAATAAAGATATTATAGTGTGTGTCTGCATCACAAAGCAACGAGGTCATGGGAGATGTCTACCTCACACAGCATTACCTGGCGAACTCACACAGCATGTCCGCACTTACGGCTTAGACAAGCTCACAAAGCATGCTCGTCTTTACAAAATCATACCGTGGTACATCCCCATTGACATACAAGTTCAAAACACATATTATAAAAATATCCCACTTTTCACGCATATATAACGTATCAAAAATCTCGAGAAGCTTCAAACAACTTGTGGATAATAATAAATAAGGCATGCAACCATTTTAAAAATAAATCACGTGTAACTCACAATACATGGCGTAGCCCAAACCGATCTTTGAAGTAGCTAGCGTCTCCCCGATTGGTGCCAAACTAACTACGATGTAGAGCACCGTCGACTCTCATTACAGCGTCCACCGTCGCATTTTCTCACAATAGTTCTCCTTCTTAACCCCAAACTACACATAAAGCTACAAACTCCCAAAAACGCATCAAATTTGTTGCGCTTCAC